CCCCAAAACCCCAAAACCCCAAAACCCCAAAACCCCGATAAAAAGCTGTTCAGCTGATTCAGAATAAATTGTTTTAATAATGGAGTCAGAGGACACTAGAGATAAAGAAGATACGATAGAGTGAGAAATAGGATGAGGAACCATTTTGAAAAGAGATCATAGTGGTATCTGATGAAGTCAAGGGCATAATATATGCCCAGATTGAGCTCCAAATATGCTGGCGGATATATTTGTGACTCCAGAGTCTAAAATACCTGTTAAATGAGTCTACTGCAATGTTGAATTGGATTCAATTCAGGTTGAAAGGCAATTAAGTCAAGAAGAGTTAAGTATATATATGATGCATTACTCCATTAAAAGAATTGATCCGGCAATAGACAAAGTGATGAATTGCCCGATGTGTAATTACTTCGAGGTTTGGGACATCAGTAGCACCTCCAACTTCTTCTATTGACAAGGTGAAGGTTGCAAATAAGGGAAGCTGCTCAATCTGATTTGAAACATTTGATGTAAGCCTTTGTAATAAAACTCTAGGTGCCTTCAAGCTTTGTTGTTTCAGAAAAACAATACAAAGAGATGCAAAAAGGTATGCTAAAGCATTACAAATGATACGAGTACCAGGAAATGAAGAAAGACTGGGATAAGGCTATAGAAAGAGGAACAAAAAGATTCTGTCCAACATGAGGAGTTGGAGGTATCAAAGATGACGCCTGCCTCAAAATGAATTGCAAGTGCCGTATATTGTGGTGCTATTTCTGTGGTAAATAGAGAAGACAAGGTTGACAAGAAAAACCCAAAAGGAAATTTTTATCAACATTGCGTAGATTGGAAGGATAATCCCAAAAGATGCCCTGTATATTTGTACGAGCTTGCTTCTGTTGATCCAAGGTGGCATTCATCTAACAGAAAATTTAATAGAGAGTTCTTTCATAAGCTCTTAACGTACAGAGAGATCCGGAAGTTCTTCAAGAAATACACCAAGGAACAGTTCCAAAACCTCTGCGATGCCATTCCTTCTGTTGCAAATCACGGATACGATCTTGAGGAGGCTATGACCATGGATATTGAGCTGATCAAGAGATAATTCTGCAATATTATCCAAAATCACAAATTTATCTCCACCAATACAGAAAGATAAGTCACCAGTTATATTTCAAAAGATTACTAAACGTAAGGGGTTTTGGGGTTTTGGGGTTTTGGGGTTTTGGGG